CATCGCTATACCTGCTTTTCGCAACTTGGAAGCAAAGTTCGCAATATGGAATTGAACTTCGAGATCAAACCTGTAGTTTTCATTTCAAAGTTCACAACTTCATTGGCTCCAATAACAATAAAACCACACATTCAGGAACGTAGTATCCAAGTTCCAAAGATGTTTCCAAACCCGCACAGCCAAAGTGAGTTGAAATCCACTGTAATACTCAAAACTTATTTAGAAATATTGTGGATCCGTTACCAGGATTGATCATGATAATATAGGATATATCGTTCTCAGGTAAAAAGTATTAAAAAACATAAGGTTTTGACAGCCGGTCTACTGTCTTCGACACATAAAAATTGTGATCACAATTGTCATCACAATTTTTATTCGTCAAAGACAGTAGACTGGCTGTCGGAAGCTTATGTCTTTTGATAACTTTTACCAGAGAACACTATAGCCTATATTATCAAAACTTATTGTTGCATTTTCATTTTCATTACAGACAGTGTAAAGACTAACAGCCAAAAATTACAAAAATGCATAAAATGTAAAATGGCTCCTTCATAAGGGCAGTTGTTCTAGTTCCAAAGGAAAGAAAATTTCTTCCTCACCCTCTCCATGTTTGTCTGTGAATTGGAAAGCTTGCACCAAGCGTAGAACCTCGTCAACAGACCTTCCAACGGGTAAGTCGTTCATTGTGATCTGTCGGAGGATTCCTTTGTCATCGATAACAAATAACCCTCTGTTCAAAACAAAGATAAAAATTTGTTATGATATCAAACGCTAAGAAAAGCACAACATTTATAAGTTTACAACAAAATTCTTCAACAGAAACATCTGCCATCACCATTTGGCAGTTACACCTTGCATTGCGGGGCTTCCTTGAGCTCAATCTGGAACTTGGTGGCAACAGAGTCCAAGAAGGTACAAAGGACTCCACGCACAGAGTATAAATTTTGGAATACTAAGTAAAAGTCAGACATACATGTATGAACTAGACTCTACACAACACTGCATCCTGGCATATTTTTAGAGGGTTATATTCCCCGCTTGACCACCAAAAATCATTGCCTCTGTCAGTACCCTCCGTGATTAGGAATGACGAGGACTAGAAGGAAATGAACAAACCTGAGTGCTGGCCTTACCTGAGTGCGACACCTTGATCCTCCAGTAGAACACCATAATCCTTGGAAATCTGCTTTGTTATATCAGACAGAAGGGGAATATTCATTTGACCAAGTCCTCCTTTCTTACGTGCAACATTGGTCCTAAAGTGACAAATATAATCATGTGAACGTACTGTAGGTTCCTGACCAACCAAGTTTGGTCAATAAAGGACTTACTTCCGGTATACAACATAATAATTATCATTGAGTACCATTTTTCTTGTGAAAAATAGCTGCTAATCTTGGGTGGACAATGTAGCCAAATCTTGCCCACTCAGCTAGCCAATCCCAGTGCTGGATCTGGTTTATCTGACTACCTTGTAATGAGATATTAAGCACTTAACGACTGGCACCCAGGGAAACAGTGAGTTTTGCTTCCCCGAGACCCTTAATGTTCCCTGAGGCGAAGCCAAGGGGAACACTGAGAGCGAGGGGAAACAAAACTCACTGTCTCCCAGGGGCCAGTCATTAAGTGTTTTGTTACACCTCCCAACTCAAAAATAGAAAAAAATGATTCGCTTGACGCCTAGGGTGGCTGTGCCTGCAGTATGAGCGGCAGTCAAACTGAGCTGTCATGCCAAAACAACATGATAATAGTCTTTTTCTTCACAGCTAAAAAAAAGGAAGACAATACTTAAGTTGCTTTGGCTTCTTCTAATTGCAGCATATTTTGTTGTAAATGACACAACTATTTTCCTACCTGATGACGGCGATCGAAGAGCGAGTCGCCACGTGCCGAAGGCAACACATTTTTGACACCAAATTAGAAGCTTGAAGACAGAAAATGTTTCCCCTTTGTTAATCTGATATGTTTTTGCAATTATAAATCCCTTTTCTTGAATAATGAATGCTTTCTCTAGTGAGAAACGTTGCCTGACTTCAATGGCTTTTTGACATCAGGCCAACTGGCACACAAATTTGCCACTGTTAGTGTTGCAAAGTGCACAGCCTGATCATGAGCACGTCGAAAGTTCAAGTTGTTGTTTCCCTAGGGAGTTAGTGAGTTTTGTTCACCCAAGGGAGTTAGTGAGTTTTGACCCATGACACGTGACACATTCTCCTCCAATCAGAAAACGTATTTGAGTTGGGAGGTATAACAATATGCTTTATATAATATCTCAAAATATTCTCATATTTGATTAGTACTTAGGTTATGATCTGTTGGAGGACAAATGCCTAGATGCCGTCATAAGCAATGTTATTTTGTTTCTCTATCGTATAAAATTAGAATCCAAGTTGTCGTGTTTCTTTTCGGTAAAAAGTCACAGACGACAACAAAATGTAGTAAGGACATCGGTGACACACTCTCCTAATGGCTGGTGAGCCACTTTCTTGCTCTTACCACATTTAGACGTCACCTGTGATCTAGTACTGAACAGACGCATGGCAACATGGAATCTATTTGTTAACTATATACCCTAAATCCTTGACTTAGTGCCCGGGGATGCTTATTTCAAATTTAGGAGAAGATGGGGGACCTGACAAGATCATTTTTTTAATACATCAGCCACAACATAAGCTGTTTATCCACACAAAAAGCTGATCCTAAAGTTTAAATTGCGGCACCATTAGTACTTGTCCAAACTTAATGAGTTCACAAACTGAAACAATGTACAAATCTAATACTACATGAATGATGAAAACAATACATCCTTTGTTGTCTCATTACTTGTCCACAAAATGGGGGGAGGGGAGGGCACTTATTTTAAATTTTGGCTAATAGGAGGGTCGCTTGTACGAAGGGGGTGCACAGTCAAATATAGCCTTACCAAGCTAAATGCGAAAACTCTGAATCAACAGAGCAAGCAACAACCTCACAGTTAATGGCACGAAACTCCTCGACCCGGTCACTGAAAGCAATGATCTCTGTTGGACAAACAAATGTGCTAGAAAACAGGAAAAAAATAAAAAATTAAAGAGTTATCACTTGTGCAAAATTTTTACTGAGATCTTGCTGAGATTGGCGAGATCTTGTCAATCTGAGATTGCAGAGATCTCACCATGATGTTAGTGGGTTTCTCAAATCTTAGCGAGATCGCAGCAAGATTTTGTACATCTCACCGAGATAGCCGAGACCTCGCAGTGATGTTTGAGTCTTTCTAAATCTTGGTAAGATCTTGCTGAGATTTTGAAAGACACAGACATCTTACCGAGATTGCCTACATCTCACCAAGATCTCACCAAAACTGGGAACATCTTGCCGAGATCTCACCAAGATCTCGGTGATCTCTCCAGCCAAAAACTCATCGAGATTCTCTTCGAGATCTCGATCAAAATTTCGCAGGGGATGAAGTTGTTTCACCAAGTGATATCAGAAAGAACGAGGTATAAAGCTTTGCATCCATAATGGCGGTTGACATGAAACTTTGAATTTAAGTCAAGTAAGTAGTTGCAAAATGTTACAATTTGTGACATCTTGCACGAATCAAAATAAAAATGTAAACAAACTCTCAAGAGAGCTATGCAGCTTCACTTGGTGCAATTATACAAAACTGACATTTTTCACACAGAGATCCATTCAATTATTTGAGATCTAATTTTCTGAAATCACATTTTGCATGGCTAGCACACATAAATGGCATGGTCGCAATCAGTTTGTTGCACTTATCAGTAATATATCATTAATTAACTTATGCTAATTAAACCAGAGTTTTAAGAACACCATCATAAATCAAAGATAAGGATTTCCATAAAGTGAAGGTACAGCTGGAGTATCCTATAAAAAATAAACATCAAACCTTTACGCAGCTGCGGACAATGGAGGAAGTGTTTACTTAATAACTGTCCACCTTTGGCAAGAGAAAATCCAACTGTCTACATTTACATTCTTTTGTATATATTCCAGAAGATATTCAAAAGAAATTCTATCTGATCCATTACGGAAGAAATAAGCAGGTTATTTGTCCGCACCTTAGGGTATGTCATTTATTCACCAGGGAATAAATTTTATATTCAACTTTCCCTTGAAATAATCACATCCCAAGACAGTTAGGAAATGGATGTACTGTTTTCAAATATTAACCATTGTTTTTCCTTTTACGAGATTTGAAAGGGTTAATTAGACAAAGTTTTGTCGTTCTCGCCAAGATAGAACATCAAGAAATTAAATACTTCCGTTCATTAGTTGAACTTTCGCTTTAGAAATACATCAAGCACAAGCCCTTATCAAGCACATATCCCCCCAAAAATTTTTGACAGAGTTTGTCTCGTAACATCCTACGATTGCGATATTAACTTACAAGTTCTAGCCTCAAATTCGGAGACAAATAATTTAGGTAAATTACACTTTCACTTCGCCCACGCGAAACTGCAATGGGCATTAATATACTGCTAACAAAGGTGAAAGGAAACAATTAGGAAGTTAACAGCGCAAACCGAACAGCGTTTTCTCAATTGTTAGACATTAATATATGTCGCTGCTAAGTTTCCCCAATGATAAAATTGTAACGTAGCAAAAAATAAAAATCCTACCAGTACGGTTGTCTCAGGCCCAGAATTTATGTCGACAAAGTGTACTTTAGGCTAGAATAACTGACGTTGAATTCTGTCGGTCTACTGGTAACCGAGCCACGCTCAATATCCGACATAAATATTTACAACTCTTTGAAAAGACAAGCTAGAGAATACAATTTATCGTCCAGGTGATTTTCTGTTTTAATAAACACGAACTGAAATGGCGATCAAATGTTCCGAGAATTAAAAAAAAAGCACACGCAAACTTGAATGTAGCAAAGCTGAGTGTAAGTTACATAATAAAAAGTTCACCCTGATGCGAAAGAGTCGTTGGAAACGAATTAAATCGATAAAAATCGAGGCCATGAAATGTAGTGAACACTCCTTCGTTGCAAGTACAGTGAAAATTTCTTATCTTCTTGACACTCCTACAAGAAGGGGGCAGGCAATAACTAGGAAGCTTACTGCCTCTAACATTTTGAATGTCGAATGTCAAAATATTACGCTATAAGAAAATCCAGAATATTAAGTGTTATTTTCTTGAATTTTCAGATAGGTTAGTGAAACTAATACATAACAAAGGCTACTTTTCNGTCCATAACATACCCGACGCGCCGACTAAGAGGTATTTTTTTTACAAAAAAATAACTCAAAAACTAATAAATAAAAATTACTAAGATATATAAAATAAGATACATATTAAGGCTAAAATACACTAAGTTAAAAAACCATTAAAAATACAATAGAAATCACAAGTAATAATCCTCCAAGGCTTTCCTAAATAAAACTCTAGAATTAATGTTTCTTAAACTTAAAGGCAATAAATTAAAAATCGAGGCACCTTAAAAATAAAAGCTACGGCACGCAAAACCCAGTCTGATCTTTGGTAGTTTTGCCGTTTTCTCATCCTATATAATCCTACCTAACCTATATAATCCCACATAATTTTACATCGTAAAGGTACTTTATTCTCGCACCAAAACTTGGGCATGCGCCGAACAATACCGACTCTGGTGTGGAAGCAATGGCACAAGACTTATGCACTGATCAACAGACTTAGAAAGCGTCTAACCAAGAGAAAACCCCTCATTTTCTCTTGGTCTAACACAAAGAGAAAGTGCCAAGAAAGTACAGAATAAGAATAATTAAAACATATTTACACGGGATGGCTGCATCAGTTAAAAAAAAAAAGCTATCAATGCAGGTCCTGCATAAAAAAAAAATGAAAATAAAATAAAATAAGTAAAACAAGAGCAATTCCAATCCATCGCGGCTACCCGGCCAGTTACCAATTTTTTGTAAAGAATGTCTTGAAGCTTGGTCTGACTTCAATAGCAATCATGATATAATAGCTACGAAACAGGACGTTTTAAATGAGATCATCTGGAACAACCAGAACCTCTTGATTAACAAGCAATCATTAAAACACACAGCGATAAGGGGGTTCTGGGCCCGGGGCAAGTGTTGCTTAACTTTTGAGCCTTGCCTCGCGGCTCGCCTCAAAAATAAACCCAAACTTGCCCCGGCCCCAGAACCCCTTATCTATCTGTGTCCGCTGTCTGTTGTCGCACCCTCTTTGAACATTGTCGGAATTTTTGTATATGGAAGCAGCACTGGATCTGCTAAAACAACTCAAAAACGAAAGTGATTTACTTCAGAAGCATATTGAAAACCGCCCAATCAGCGTCAAGCTTTTCCAAGATACAGCTATTGATATAAAACAAATAGAAAATACATTGTCTGAATTGAAAGGGTTACTCAGTTTTTTCGAATCGGTTGAGAGGAGGAATGTCTGGAGGCGTGAAAGCGGGAGTGAGGTTCTTTGCACTATAAAAGATTGAAACGCTTGCCTGGCCCCAGAAAAAAAAAATCCAAAGGCAAATGCTTTCATTTGAACATTGCAGGTATCCTAGTATACCGGAAAATGAGTGCTGTTACTTTAGCAAACACGGAAAGCTTTTCGAAAGAAAAATTGGAACTTTTACAAAAAATCTTCAGATTCTTTTAATGAAAATCTGAAAGAAATGACAGATTTTTTTATAGATAAATATCAACAAACGTCTGAAAAAGAAAAATATGAATGTTTAAAGCAATGTAATTTGGGTATTTATCCTGACCAATAATTAAATGAGAAATTTTCTGAGTTTCGAAGTAAAATGTTTGACATTGGTTATAAAATTGGACGTACACTGGACTATGAAAAAGTGGACTTATTTATGCATGAATTATATAAAAATCTATAATCGAAAACGCAAAAGTTAGTTTTGAAGATTTGTATTCGTGTTGAATAACGATGGCGCTTGCAAACAACGTACTCATGGAAGAGGATTTTCAAGATATCGAACAATATCTACCCGACGTTACGACATATCAACAAGTCGAACTTGAACCGCAGCAAGAAAAAGAGAAAAATTATTGCTGCGATGCCTGTGGCAAGAGATTTACTCAATTGAACTCACTCAAAAGGCGCAGAAAATATAGTTGTAAAAAATTGGAAACAGAAAGGCTTCCAAAAGAAAACTGACCAGGATGCGGTAAAATGTTGCATAAAACAACGGTTTACAAGCATAAAAAAATGGCTGTCCAAAAAAAGTTAATTGAAGGTTTGCATGTTTCTTGTATAGCGATGGCAGATATCATCAACCAGTCAGCTGAAAACATGAATAATCTTTCAGAAGAGGAATATAAAAGCGACAAAATGCAAGTCGAGGTGGGCGAAGAAATGCAGGACGAGATTAGTCATGAAAAAGTAGAATTAATGAAAAATCTTTTGAAAAGTTATAGATTCTAAAGAATTTTTAATAAAATTTGCCACTCTTGGGAAGGAGTATCTTGAAGGTAAGAAACGTTTTGACAGATATTCAAGAATTTTTATCGCCGTTATTAAAGCATATATGGAAGAGATGGAAGATAATGAAAAAAAAGTATTTCTTGCCTTCTTGGGGATAGGGTCTTTGTTTGTGGACTTATTAAATGCCGCTATTATACATTATTCCTATTAAGACAAAGCAATTAAAGCTTTGCAAGTATTTAGCAAAATGGGTCGCAGCAGGAATGGTTTTCTCAATGCAAGCCACATTAAAAACAAAAGATTGAAAAAGGCTAGGAAAGAAGAGCCTTACTGGGGATTGGTAAAAATACATAAAGAGAAAAGCCGTGAACAGATGGTATATCTGTTGGAACCACCGTTGGTTGAATTAATGCAAAGTTTAGACCCACAAGAAGTGTTCAAGTCACTTTTGAAATAATCAGCCAATATTCTCTTGTCAAAAAAAAAATATAAACAGGCCTCGAGCAATCAGGTTTTTTTGCTCCAGTGGTGTTACCGTCATGCGTGATGTTGCGTGAAAGACCAACAAAGGGGGCGCTCGGTGCCTATTGGTTTGCCTAGCCCCGGCTAGGACTTTGCCCGCTGCTGACAAGGTGGCTGTCGTTCCCATTTAACCACTGGGACAGAACTTTGAAATCCCGAGGAATCTCTGAGCACCCCTGTTGTCAGTAGGGCCAGAGCGGGTTCACCTGGGGGTACCGTCTACTGGAAGACATCCCCCACTACTCCTAAGTGCCTGCACGTGACCTACTAGGAATCACAGGTGGCCACCCTAAAGCACCGCCATTTGCGTCGCTAACAATTGGTTATGGAAATTACATATTTATAAGGCTTGGTCAGTCTTTCTGCATACTTGTGGTACTTTCTCTCTCATTCGCTGCCTATGCGCAGACATAATTGTTGCCGGGTATTAATTAGCTGCTTCAAAAAAGGCATCGATGACTTCGCGTGTACTATCACGCAC